CAATATTATTATATGTTTGTTTCATTTTCTGTTTTTGCTTCAACAATATTATTATATGTTTGTTTCATTTTCTGTTTTTGCTTCAACAATATTATTATGTTTGTTTCATTTTCTGTTTTTGCTTCAACAATATTCTATTCCATATAGGAAGGTAACTCTGGCTTTGTTGTGGAAATGGAAATAGTTGAATCAGTGAGAAAGGTTCCTTTGCAAGACCCATCTGGGGAGGAGTTTTGTGCTTCTGATTTGACTTGGACCAAGCTTGGAAATGTTGAGCACCATGATGAGGTTGCCCTTATTCCCTATGATCGAGTTGATGCTTTTATAATCGGCGAATGCTCTAATGTCGAGTGCCCAACTCGCTTCCATATCGAGAGAACAAAGAAACGAGTTATTGGTAGCTTGAAGGAGTACAAGGATGATGAGTATCTTGAGTACAGGAAGTAAGTTTTTGTTATGCCTCTTAATTATCACACTCCATTCAAAATAGTTTTGATTTTTTTTTCTAAATTTATTTTATCTCTCGAGTATTGTGATCAGAAGATTGTTAGACATTTGGAATGTTTGTTTTAATTTTCTAGTATTTTTTCTGCTTGTTTGCTACTTTTTAAATTTAGTTTATTTTTGGAGAGGGGAGCTTGGCGCATTGATTAAAGTTGTTGCTATGTGACAAGAAGGTCATAGGTTCGAGTCATGGAATCAGCCACTTGCAAATGCAAGGTAAGGCTGCCTACTATATAGGCTCACATAGTGGGCCGAAACCTTCTCTGGACCCTGTGCACAGAAGAAGCTTTAAAGCACCGTTGCCCTTTTAATTTATTTTCTAAGGAGAGTTTGAACCTGAAAGTATGAAATCAACCTTATCTTTTATAAAATATTGATCCTTGCTAAGTTCCCTAATGATAAATACCATTTTCATGTTGTTTTCTGGGGTTTGCAATCAACATCAGACTAGCAAACGAATTCACAACCTAAATTCACAGTCGGGATTCTGATAGGCATGTTGTAAAGTTGAAGTGTTTTTTTGGTAGGTACTGGTGCTCATTTGGCCCCGAAAATTATGGGGAGGGTGGAGGTATATTGCCTAGTCGAAGGCATCGACTTAATACTCGTAATCGTGCTGCTAGACCGCAATCAATGCGTGGTTGTACTTGTCATTTCGTTGTCAAACGTCTTTATGCTCGTCCATCACTTGCTCTTATTATATACAAGGAGAGGCGCCACATTAACATGTCTGGTTTTGTATGCCACGGGCCACTGGATAGAGATGCCATTGGTCCAGGTGCCAAAAAAATTCCATACATATGTAATGAAATTCAACAGCAAACGATGTCCATGATTTATCTGGGCATTCCAGAAGAGAATATCTTGGAGAAACACATTGAAGGAATTGAGCGATATTGCGGTTCAAACTCCAAAGTTAATAGCCTTGCCTCTCAGTATGTTCACAAGCTAGGGATGATTATCAAAAGGTCTACCCATGAGCTGGATTTAGATGATCAAGCTAGCATCAGTATGTGGGTTGAGCGTAATAGAAAGTCTGTATTTTTTCATCAGGATACTTCAGAGTCACACCCTTTCATCTTGGGGATCCAAACAGAATGGCAGTTGCAACAAATGGTTCGTTTTGGTCATCGCAGCATTGTTGCAGCAGACTCAACCTTTGGCATAAAGAGACTTAAAGTATTGTTTTTTCCTTCAAACTTGACTTTTATGTTATGCTAGATATAATATAAGACAGCTATGTCAGTCGGCCTAATAGTTATCTTTTCATATGGGCAGTATCCCTTGTTCACATTAGTTGTTTTTGATTCAAGACAACATGCACTTCCTGTCGCATGGGTCATTACGCGTAGCTTTGCAAAGCCTGATATGTCTAAGTGGCTGAAGGCTTTAATTGATCAAGCTCGTAGCATTGAGCCGGGATGGAAAGCCAGTGGATTTTTAATTGACGATGCTGCAGCTGAAATTGATCTTTTCAGGCAAGATTTATTGCTTTATAAAAGAATTTGGTTTAAAATTCTATGATTATGTATAATTTTCTTGTATCGACTGCTTTTACAGAGAGATATTTGGCTGTCCTGTCCTCTTTTCACTATGGCGTGTTCGTAGATCGTGGCTAAGGAATATTGTTAAGAAATGCAGTAATATTGAGGTTCAGCGGGAGATTTTTAAGCGTCTTGGCACAATAGTGTACAGTATTTGGGATGGTTGTAATATATCACTTGCCTTGGAGCAATTTATGATGGATTTTGTTGACCAAACTGCTTTCATGGAATATTTCAGAGCTTCCTGGGTGCCTAAGCTTGGTTAGATATTTCTCCTCTTCCCAATTTTGCATGCACATAAAAGACACTAGTTTCGCTGAAGAAAAATATTGGCATGCCCACTTGAAAACTGTATATTACAAATGATATCTTTAAAATTTAGCTTATGAGTTATGGGCTTACTCAGTTTGCCATTCATTTATTAACCTCATTTCTCATTGCCCTTCCTTTTCACTGTGTTGTGCAGAAATGTGGCTTTCAACAATGAGAAATCATCCATTAGCGAGCCAGGAAGCTTCTGGAGCATTAGAATCATATCATGTTAAACTGAAAGCCAAACTTTTTGATGATTCACATCTTGGAGCACTGCAAAGAGTAGATTGGTTAGTCCACAAGTTAACAACTGAGTTGCATTCAAGCTACTGGCTTGACCGCTATGCTGATGAAAGTGATTCTTTCCAGAATGTGAAGGAAGAATATATTGCTTCAACATCGTGGCATCGAGCACTTCAAATTCCCAACTCCGCCGTCACCTTGGATGATAAAGAGCATCTCTTTGCCAAAGTTGTAAGCCAGAAAGACAGCAGCTTAACGCATTCAGTGTGGAATCCGGGATCTGAATTTGCATTCTGTGATTGTCTTTGGTCAATGCAAGGTAACCTTTGCAAACATGTCATCAAAGTAAGCATGATTTGTGAAAACCTTCAAGGTCGTCAACCATCCATGTCTTTTCGGTCATTTGAAGAGGTTTTGATGGATCTATGGAGAAAACCAGTGGATGATTCGTTTGCTTTGGATCTGTCGTTGGCTTGGACACACCAGATGCTAGATCAAGTCCAAAAACTTGTTGAACTGAATAATTCTACTGATATTGGAATCGTAGTTAACAATATGCCTTTGAAATGGGTTTCCAAGAAAGGTAGAACCTACACTGGCAAACGGTCATCAACTTTGGCCCATCCCCCTAATAACAGTAACGCAAAAAGTTTGGTTGTGCAAAAGAAGAATCGGAAACGGAAAAGATTGTCGCGATTAACATGACCAATTTGATTGATAGCTATGAAGTTTGAGCTAGGATAACTCATGCAAACTGGATTTCATTTACGAAAATACTGCAACTTTTAAATATCTGGCTTTCTCGTTCTGTTGCCTCTTCATATCTTGAAATTTGCAGCATCAACCAAGTATAGGCACATTTGCCACTATTATTATAATAGCATGCTTGGAAGTTGGAGATAAAATGGAGGAAATAAAAGCAATTCTAGTGAGCATGTTTTGTAGAGTTTTCAGATCTAGATATACTTTCAGTTTCAGGTGATCACCTGGGATAGAGCAGTAGTCAATTTTGCTTACAATGGCTCAACATTTAGCAATTTTCTTCATTTTAATACAGACAAATGCTGGCGCATTATTTTATTCATTTTTTAATTTGTACTCCTTATATGTTTAGAATTTGAAGTCCTTTCAAGTTCACTGCAGAAGATATCATTACATGGATCATGATCTTTTCTTTTTCATACCTTGTTTTCTTTGGTTTACATATAATGTATTTAGACTAATCATTGGAAAATAACTTGCAAGATATATATACTTTAAATAAGTGATAGTTATGAGTTTAATTGTTTTGCTAGCCTTATGTACTTCATGAGACTATAGTTTGAAATGGCTAGTTGTAAATGCTTTTCAATCTCAGTATGGACAAACTGGCATTATATGAACTTCATAAGCAGCAAGTGAGATGAGTCTCCTCTTTAGCTTGTCTAGTGATTCCAATGTGTTGCCAAAACTTGTAGAAGTGATAGATACCAGTCCTGGGTTTTGGCTGTTGAACACCGAGACAACAATAGCATCTTGAAAACTGGTGGCAACCTCTAGGGGTGCCTTGTTTTGGATTGTTTCTTTTGCTTGAAAATGAACAGAGTGTTGCGGAATAGAATTGTTATGTTTAGTTCATGGCTTGTGTATGGTTTAAGTATGTATGCCACAGTTTGGAGTGTTTGGTTGTGTATGGCCACGGTTTGTGTATGGACAAGGGAAATGGTTAAGGAATGATATGATGGAGCCCCAAAAGTAAAATGGCTTGATAAGCCAATGAAGAATCCTTGATAAGAACAAAGTTAAGGCGCCACATCAAAGGTTATAAGCCTTAGCATGCCACAAACAAAGGTGTTTGACGAGTTCAAGGGTCTTGGCTCGGCCAAGGTTGGTTCACATAAAAAACCATGGTTTAGAATGAAGTGAAACAAAACCTTAGGGAACACAAACATCACCTACATTAAGAAACTCTTGGAAAACTTGGTTTTTGGTATCAATAAATCCTGCAAGCAATACACTTTGGTAACAAAGATATTCTCAGTCGCCCTTGGGTTATAATGCAACTTTTATAGATGCACCAAAAATATCTTTAGACGCTGGGTTGCTTATTATAGTCATGAAATCTAGAGCTTGACATTTGCTGGGTTGGCCATTGATGAATATGGTCTGCTTTTTGGGTGAAACTGCTGGACAAGTGTCTTGTACATGACTATAGAATTAAGCAAAGACAACAGAGAAGAACAAAAAGAAAATGTCATCTAAGGGTTTCATATAAAATCTAAACTTAGGGTTCAAGAAATGCAAGAACCCGAAGAGTTCACTTCCTACTTAGCAATGAAATGAAATGCAAGAAGTATTTTGCTTGAAAGTGAAATAAATCAAGAGAACAATAAAGATAGAAAGGTCTATACTAACACTGTAGGGTGTGCCAGGCCCATGTTATAGTGCAACACATGGGAGACACTCAAGTAACCCAATAGCAAGCTATTGTAATGGTCACTTCCCTTTAAAAAAGTAATTTAATATCATGTGAGCCAATGACCCACATATCAGATATTAAACTGATAAGAACAGATACTACACTTGATCTTAGCCAAAAGGCCGAGAAAGGTATGAATTATCAAATGTCCGGTCTTGTCTTTTATATTGTGCCACCCCTGTGCTACTTCTTAGCTCTACCAATGTGGGACTACAGGACTGCTTTCACTTGATACACTGCTCGGTTCTATTAACCGGTGCTGCACCATTTCCTTGGTCCTAAAAACAAAAGAAGGGATAAAAGAGATTGGAATAATCCTAAATTTATTATCTATTGACTCCCAAACAGAAGCATTATGTGTTACACAATTAGTAGACATGTTTTGCCATGTTTTTCAACCATTTTATGTCTATACCTTGTTATTCTGATACAAGTAAGTTATAATGTTTATCCAGACCTCCCTTATAGCAAATGTTGCTCTTCTAAATTTGTGGATATGAAAGATGATGGAGTATGGAACTAGCATTGATGCTGTTGTGGATAAAACCTCTAAAGCTTGCAGGTATATTGTGATTTTCGTGTTAGAAAACTAGTCCACCTATCCTTAACCATATCCTCCTCCAAAGGATAGCAAAATTGTCTGTTTATAGTTTTTCTATATAGACATGGGTTTATTATGATAGATTCAGTATCAAGAAATTGATTTCTGAACAGGATATACTCACAAGTCACAACTGTGTCTTGTTCTATTATCAATAATTAACTAGTTGAACACTTCCCATTTCCCAGGGAGGATGATAAGCATCAAATAACCACATGGTTACAATGTCTTTGCGTATGCACGACCCACACTGTTTAGGATATGAAGCAAACTACTCTTTATAATGCTTTTGATAAGTAATGAAATTTACAGGTTGTAACCTAAGTGGGGGCATTAATCTAAGGCGTGGGTCTCCCACCCTAGACTTTAACTTTTGGAAAATACATAGACAAATTAATATGATTAACCTAATATTATAATTATATTGATGTCTATATAGTTATAAAGTAATAGCAGGTTCAAGTATCCACTACCTATTAATACATACTCAAAATCATAATTAAAAATTTGAATTTACAAAAAGAAAGCTAAAAATCCATTTAATGTAATAATTAATTAATATTTTTTTAATAATTTACATAAAGCATTAATAAGAAAGTTTCCTTTTTTGGAAAATACACATAAATTGAGGCCTACAAATTCAAAAATGATAAAAATAATTGTTTAATAGGATCATGTTTATGAATTAATGTGATATTACAATTATAAATTAATAATATAATGTTATAATTATGATTAACCTAGTATTATAATTTTATTGATGTACATATATCTATACTTCTATACTACTAATAAAGGCAAAACACAAAATAACCACCACCATGGTGTAATTTGTGTTTTGCCTTATTTGCCCTCATTAAATTATAAATTTTACAAAAAAAAACCATATATAACTCCTTATATCACATTTACATGTATATTCCTTATAACAACTTACCACTTGGACATTATTATATAAGAAATACATAGTTTTAATACATTCCTAAAAATTGAATTTAAGAACATTACTTAATTAAAAATAAGGATCATAAATATAAAATCATTCCTTGAATTTAAGAACATTACTTATTTTCTAATGTAATGTTTACTTACATTTTCTAATGTAATGTTTACTTATATTTACAATTCCCCAAAAGAAATAGAGGTGTCATATTTTAATGGAAGAGAATGTAAATAAATATATTTATTGTTTACTTATATTTATGAATTAATGTGATATTACAATTATAAATTAATAATATAATGTTATAATTATGATTAACCTAATATTATAATTTTATTGATGTACATATATCTATACTTCTATACTACTAATAAAGGCAAAACACAAAATAACCACCACCATGGTGTAATTTGTGTTTTGCCTTATTTGCCCTCATTAAATTATAAATTTTACAAAAAAAAACCATATATAACTCCTTATATCACATTTACATGTATATTCCTTATAACAACTTACCACTTGGACATTATTATATAAGAAATACATAGTTTTAATACATTCCTAAAAATTGAATTTAAGAACATTACTTAATTAAAAATAAGGATCATAAATATAAAATCATTCCTTGAATTTAAGAACATTACTTATTTTCTAATGTAATGTTTACTTACATTTTCTAATGTAATGTTTACTTATATTTACAATTCCCCAAAAGAAATAGAGGTGTCATATTTTAATGGAAGAGAATGTAAATAAATATATTTATTGTTTACTTATATTTATGAATTAATGTGATATTACAATTATAAATTAATAATATAATGTTATAATTATGATTAACCTAATATTATAATTTTATTGATGTACATATATCTATACTTCTATACTACTAATAAAGGCAAAACACAAAATAACCACCACCATGGTGTAATTTGTGTTTTGCCTTATTTGCCCTCATTAAATTATAAATTTTACAAAAAAAAACCATATATAACTCCTTATATCACATTTACATGTATATTCCTTATAACAACTTACCACTTGGACATTATTATATAAGAAATACATAGTTTTAATACATTCCTAAAAATTGAATTTAAGAACATTACTTAATTAAAAATAAGGATCATAAATATAAAATCATTCCTTGAATTTAAGAACATTACTTATTTTCTAATGTAATGTTTACTTACATTTTCTAATGTAATGTTTACTTATATTTACAATTCCCCAAAAGAAATAGAGGTGTCATATTTTAATGGAAGAGAATGTAAATAAATATATTTATTGTTTAACTTAAAAAAATAAACGATGGATATAAAAAGTATATAAAGATACCCCTAATTTATCTATACTAATATATAAAGTCAATACATGTTTTAACTGTCAATGTGGTATAATTTTTCTTCCCTAATTTACCATTTCATAATTTATTATTTCCATAATTTATTTTGTAGTTAGAGTGGTATTAATTCCAAATTAATCTCATTTGTAACTGTTTAAATGTGGTTTAATTTAGTTTTTTTAACTCCCACAATTCTTCAACCTCTCATACCCACTCAAATAGGGTTCAACCTCTCTCATACCCACTCAAATAGTATTCAATTCTTCTTCTTCTCTTTCTTCTTCTTGCTTAGTCCAACCAAAGTTTTGGTTCTTTCCTTTGCATTTTAGTCACATCACACTGTATGGATCATACAACTCCATTCAATCTCGAAGTTTGTCACATTCATTTACCCCAATTTTATTTTTGTCATTGTGCATTTTTTTTAATATTTTTTCAATTCGTCTTCTTTGGTGTTTTTGTGTGACTAAGTTCTAGAAATTTAGGTATTTGCATTTATAAAAAAAATTTACAAATTTATGGAATTTGTTGAGTATGTTAATTTTTGTTTTTTTTTTGTAGTTTGATTAACTTTCGACTTCCAAAACAAGATGATGATTTTGATTATTATGGGAATAGTAGTCAATCTGTTCTTTAGTTATTGCCGGAAAGTCTTATTTGTTTTCACACCCACGACAGTGAGTTATATATGTCCCTTTGCGTTTCAAATTGTTACTTAGATAGATATAAACCATGTAGATTATTATAGATTAAACCCATGTAGATTTTTTGGAGGTTGAATAACTTTATCAATGCCAAACTCTTTGTAGGTGATACATATAATGTCGTCTTTTGAAATAGCACGAATACTTGGATAAATTATTTCAATGTTTTTGTACAACATATTGATTCTTACACTTTCAATGGCTTCAATTTACAAGTGAAATACTTCTTACATTTCTCAACTATTTTTTCATGTCCACTTTTCTATCCATGTCTTTTTTCTTTTCAACTCTTCAATGTTAAAATGATAACCATTTAAATTTTTATATTCAAAATCTTTTTCAAAATTTATTATTTCCACTCTTATATTGAATCGTAGATTCTAATACATTCCCTTCAAAGACAATTGTATTGAAAATAATTTGGAAGGATTTGTCTCCATGATTTGTGGTAGAAGACAATAAATTTGCATTTATGGATTGAGCAAACAATAAAAAACATAGTTTAATGACTTTTTTATCAGAGTATTATGTTGATGTTACTTTTACCTCTACTGTAATGGAGTTGATGTTTTTCTAACTTTCACTTTATTCGGTTCATTTTGTCTACTTGAAGTTTGATAATTTTTATTTTATTACTACTTAGTCGAGAAGAAAGAAATTATCATATTTCTTTTTTTAGGCATCACTTACCTATTTTGTCTTCCAATGAATATGAGGTTATGCAAGCATTTTACAATATCATTTTTTGTTTTCATATCATCTCTAATACTTAATTTCTCCCATGAGATGAATGTTATCATTAACATGTTCAAAGTTATCACAACACATAGATTAAATGATGACTTATTTATATGATTGAACTTCCACATGGAAGTGATTATATATTTTTAATATATTCATTTAAACATTATAATCAAGCTTAAAAGATAAGTTTTATTATAGTGTGATCATATGGGCATATGAGTTATTTCAATGAAAAAAGTCATGTATTTCATTAGTCATTGGAAAAAGGCATATATCATCAATTGTTCAGGAAATGCTTGAATGAGTCTGGGGTGTTAGTTAACTATTATATTGTATTAATTTTACAGCCCTTAAAATTGTAAAGTTGTAATGGATAAGGGACAAGGATATTAAGACACAAGATTAGATTGACATTTAACTTCAACTATTTTCAACATAAAAGGCATAACAAATCACAAAAATAAGGCACATGCACATAAAAAGTTGAAACGATGTATTGACTTAGATTTTCAAAACGTTTCTCTAATTCTAACTCAACACACCAAAAGTTGAATTTTTTTAACAATTACTTGAATGCATTAAGACCAAGTGCAAAACTATATTCATGGTGAACACAATTGTATATGCATCATTCAATAATATTGAACAATTACCCCATTGAATATATTCAACTACAAATTACAATATATAACACAATTATGACATTATACATTTATTTCATATAGACTACACGTTACATACCATAGAAAAGCGAGTTGACATGCTTGATAGGACACACTAGGGATAAAACTAATATAA